AACGCTAAAACAATATTCCAAATCAATTAACTTTGGAAGCCGATAATATGCTTCACAAACTCAACCATAACAAATCTGAAAGGTAGATTCTGTGCCTGTAGTTCAGTGCCTCCTGTCTATCCCCCCTTTTTGTATATCGGGACTACATTAGAAGTCTTCCAAATTTTTGGCAGCTTTCCCTGTTACTAGTGACTTGTTATACACTATGGAGAGTGGCAGGCACAGTGCTTCTGCTTCTTCCTTTAGTATCCATGGCGAGAGTCCATCTGGGCCTATAGCATCTGTCACATTCGACTCTAGCAAAAGCTTCCTCACCTTCCCACTGGTAATCCCAAACTCCTCTAGTGATGCCTGGTTATCTATTCCCTCTCTGGAACTCTCCTTGCTCGAACGTGCAGACCTCCTGGAATTTCTTATTGAGTTCGTCACACACTTCCTTGTCGTTTGTATTAAATTTGTCTGCCCCCCAACCTCAGTTTCATTACCTGTTCCTTCACTGTTGTTTTCCTCCTGATGTGGCTGTGCAGTAATGTAGTTTGAGTCTTTCCTTTGCTCGCTATGTTATTTTCATATTGTCTTTCTGCCTCTCTCCTCACCCTGACGTATTCATTCCTGGCACTCAGGTACCTTTCTCTGCTCTCTAGTGTCCTATTATTTCTATAGTTTCTCCATGCAACAGCTAGCTAGTAAAGATGTAAGCTAGCAGCAGAGATGTAAGCTAGCAAACCAACACTTAGTTGCTTTGATAGCTTACATCTCTGATTAAACCTGGGTTTCTCATCTGAATTTCATTCTTTTCCATCAGGGTGAAAGAAACTCTGCCCATTTGTCTCTGCCGGCGCCAGGATTCGAACCCGAGCCCACAGGATTCGAACCCGAGCCCACAGGATTACGAGTTTCGCGCGCTGTCCACTCAGCTACCAGACCCGTGTGTGTGTGTGTGTGTGTGTGTGTGTGTGTGTGTGTGTGTGTGTGTGTGTGTGTGTGTGTGTGTGTGTGTGTGTGTGTGTGTGTGTGTGTGTGTGTCGGGACATCGATGACAGTGTTGGGTTGGGGCCAAGAGCCATTAACACTTGTCATGTAAATGGTTGGCAGTGGTGGCAGCCATCTTTGTGGTGTGTTGACGAGCTCAGCACAACATCCCTAATGGTTACGTGGCACCACCTCAGCCTTTTAGACGCGGCACCAACACGGAACTGCGTCAAATTGGGCTCTCAGACAAGGCATCAGCACGAAACCTCTCATTATGCTTCTCAGATTTTCAGATTTTTTGTAGTCATGCAAAATTAAAAGTGCAATTATACACAAGTGCACGTGCACGTGTATTGACACCTGGTGGACTGGACACCTGGCAACCTTAGGACTGGACACCTGGCAACCTTAGGACTGGACACCTGGCAACCTTAGGACTGGACACCTCTCGCTATCTCAAAATGGAACTTGACGGGGTCGGAAATCAAGCAGCCTGATACAAGAGGAATTACTGTCTATTCTGCCTCTCTAACTCCCCGTCCCAGCACCGTAGCTCACCAACACACACATCACTAACTAACAGATGTACAACAAATCCATAGCCCGAATGATGAATTCCATTCACTAATAAATCACCCCTCACTGATACAACCAGCCAACCTACACATCTCACTAATACATCACCCCCACTAATACATTACCTCACTAATACATCAGCCAACTGACACATGAGCTCACTAATAAATCTTCCCCAAGACTCACCTCAACAGCACGTCCCTACATGGTGGATTTTTTACCATCCACCTGAACCAACTCCCCCCCCCCCCCCCCCCCCCCCCCCCCCAGCCACGTGAACCAACACACCCCCCCCACCCAGCCACGTGAAACACCTCCCCCCCTCACCTGAAATGACATGGCGAAGTTTCAGAGAGAGTTATTCCCAGATACACAAAAGGCAGCAGCACATATGAGCTATACAAGCGAGCTAGCGAAATTGGGTGAAGCAAAGGAGAAGGAAAGACACACAAGGATGAAAGGATAAGTAAGAAAAGAGCTACAGACACAGAGGATGGGAATGGGGGAAAATACGCAGGGTCGGGATAGGGAGGAATAGGGGAGAGGAGGTAGGAATGGAAAACTGACGAAACAAAGCCAGAGAAGGAGGATAAAAAAATGACAGAGGAAACACTCACAGACAAGATAGACACTTGGGCTGGACGGTAGAGCGACGGACTCGCTTCATGCAGGTCGGCGTTTAATCCCCGACCGTCCAAGTGGTTAGGCACCATTCCTTCCCTCCGTCTTATCCTAAATCCTTATCCTCACATATTCCAAGTGCTATAAATAAAATTAATGGCTTAGTGCCTTTTCCTGATAATAACCTAACCTTATCATTCACAGAGAAGTAACAGACAGAGAGGAGAGAGCTGAATACAGCAAAGGGAAACCAGGCAAGTGAGGGGAAAATTAAATGGACATAATGGAATAGAGATAAAGAGGCATAGAGAGAGAGAGATTGGTGGTTGCTGGAAAGACGGCGCATGCGCAGGAGGATGTGCTGGAGGCGGTCAGGGAGGAGGAGGAGGGATGTGCTGGAGGCGGCCAGGGAGGAGGAGGAGGGATGTGCTGGAGGCGGCCAGGGAGGAAGAGGAGGGATGTGCTGGAGGCCAGGGAGGAGGAGGGATGTGCTGGAGGGAGGCTGGAGGAGAGGAAACTCATTAAGATGCTCCGGGAGTGGGAGTGCAGGCAAGCCGCCGCCACGCGGAGAAAAATTATGCAATTGGAGTTACAGTAGTTAAAATAAGAGTGAGGTGTCGTGAGAGAAAGTGACGAGAACACTGCCAGTTATAAATACGGAGAGAAAGTGGCGAACTGAGAGGAGACGAATGGAGAGAGAGTGATGAGAGGAGGAGAAGTGACGAGTAAGTGGCACAGGGCCCTCTCAGGGAGTGAGAGGGGCAACAACCTCTCCCCTCTATCACTGGCCACGACCTCCCTCCCCCCGCCTGACGCCTGGCAGCTGAGTGGACAGCGCTTCGGATTCGTAGTCCTGAGGTTCCGGGTTCGATCCCCGGTGGAGGCGGAGACCAAAGGGCAAAACGTCTCTTTCACCCCGATACCCCTGTTACCTAGCAGTAAATAGATACCTGGGAGTTAGACAGCTGCTTCCTAGAGGGGGGGGGGTGTTGTCTAACAAAAAGGAGGCCTGGTCGAAGACCGGGCCGCGGGGACGTTAAGCCCCAAAATCATCTCAAGATAACCCCCCACCCTGGCCATGACCTCGTCCCAGCCTGACGGAGGCCAGACAGACACACCCCTTCCCTCATCCACCATCTCCGCCTTTACAATATTATATTTTTAACTTTTCTCGTATCTACATTTCCCTTCTAGTCTTTCAAACTCACTCACTCTCTCTCTCTCTCTCTCTCTCTCTCTCTCTCTCTCTCTCTCTCTCTCTCTCTCTCTCTCTCTCTCTCTCTCTCTCTCTCTCTCTCTCTCTCTCTCTTGTATTCGGCTATCTCACATTTTCCACCCTTTATCTCCCTTCTACTGGTCGTGCTTCCTCAATTTTATATTCGCAACATTGCTCATGCTCATATCGCTCTCGCTCTCTCGCTCTCTCTCTTTCTCTCTCTCTCTCTCTCTCTCTCTCTCTCTCTCTCTCTCTCTCTCTCTCTCTCTGGGGTTTTTCATTATAACTGCCCCGCCTTTTCCCAGATCATCTCTCCCCTCCAGAAATCTCCATAGACTAGACTTCCTTCTCAAAAAATAATCTTACATCATTTGGACGCCGTCTGGTCGGTACATAGGACCTGTGTATCAAGATCAAACCAGCTTGAAAGGACACGAAAATTATTTTAAATTAGCGAGGCGAATATTAAATTTCACAGGAGAGAGAGTGCTTGATGGATGGTCAGTATCCTCAGTGATGTATCCTTGTGGTGGCCAGTAAGAGGCAATATATATTAGTGGTTTGACGTGTCAATGGGCTGTATTAGGGGCAATACATCACCCTGGTGTATCAGGGTGATGTATCCGCAACCAGGAAGGTGAATGTAAACCTGTTACGTTTTAATAACATTATTACTACGCGGTTAAACAAAAAAAAATGTGTGTTTCCTGGGATTAACAGCAATTCACATCACACGGCAGAAACGCTTGTAAAAATACGTGCTATAACGTCAAAAATATTTACCGCCATGTTTAACATAAGAGGTCGAGCAAGATTACCCAACACGTGACTACAAGCTACGCCAAGAACAAACGCGGGAACATTTATCTAACAACTGATGGTGAACATTAGACGCCAGTGCTTCTAATTAGCCACTTTGGTATGTGAAATATTGTCCAGCGATATTCCTCATTAAATGCATAATGTACTTAATAGTACCGGTAAATATTGCTTAAAGAAACCTAAAGTATTGGATGTAAACCGTGTCCCAGCCGTTCGGACGGCCCCGGTACAGCGACGTCCTCATCTCTTGCAGGTCTGTGCTCGATCCTCGATGGTTAATTACCCGTAGATACTCCATGATAACGTAACGCCAGCCTGCCTCTACCTTTGTGCCAGATTCATCGTAAATATCGTGTTATCTTGTTAAGGAACTTGGCACAGTGCAGAGTCATCAACCAAATGAGATGATTAATGAGTTTTAACAGAAGTTGTTAAACACATCGGACGTAACCTTCCTGAAACATAGAGACGAGTTGTGAACTCATCCACCGCCCATAAGACTGAAGTGAACGCAAGGGCCCACCAGAGGCTTATAATTAGGTCCCGCGTAGGAATATCTCGGCAAAATATCTTGCCGAGTAATTTGTAGTAAAAGATAAAAGGCTTATAATTAGGTCCCGGGCAGAAATATCTCAGCAAAAATAAGTACTTAACAATACTTACCTCGTGATGTTATTGTTTATCTGATCCTAAAAGGTACGTACACACCAGGGATAAAGTACTCACCGATGGGGCCGTTCTCCTGCACCTGTGAACCACACATGAAGGTACACACCAGGGCTGAAGTACTTACCGATGGGGCCGTTCTCCTGCACCTCGCCGTAGATGGTGGCGTTGGGGAAGACGGGAGCGTTGTCGTTGATGTCCTTCACCACCACCGTCACCACCGTCTCCGCCACGTGCACCTGCTCCCGCCTCATATCCTGCAGGTACCATGGCTCCGCCTCCTCCTCCTCCGGGGCCTCCTCCGGACTCATAGAGAAGCTGCCATAGTCCTCACACCCTCCACCGTTCCTTCCCAACCTCTTCACGTAGACCCGCTCCTCCTCCAACTGGGCCCTCCCCAGATAGCGTTGCGACAGGTGCTTCATCTGGTCCGCACTGCGTTTAGTTAAGGTTGCTGCGATGTCCATGCGCCGCGTTCTTCCATCGGGACCCGAACTCTTGACTTCGCGCACAGTTGTCGAGGTGGGTGGGATACCAGGCGTGGCTCTGGCGGCGTTCTGGGCAAGTTTGGGTTCGAAATATTCAGTAGATCTTTCCTCAGGATTAGGGACTATTGTTGGTCGCGACCGCTGACTCAAGTGATGACTCGTATCACTGAGTATGGCCGCGTGTTCCTTAGCCATTTTGGAAGTCCTTTGAGGAAAAGATAAAGTTTCGTTAATATAATAAATAGGTTTGTACGTGAAACCAGACGCCTGCTTATTCCTGCCAACATTTATTTTGCCACTAAAACTGCGACTGGGAGCTTTTTGTTTGAATATTCCTCTGATAGATAATAGTTTCCGGTGACAGCCAGCCGGCTGATGTTCCTTACGTGTCCCGTGTTTAAGTCTGGAGGCTCGAGGTTGTAGTGAGGAGCTGACCCTTGTGAAGGCGCCTCGCGGGTGCTGGTAGCCAGGAACAAGGAAGCCGTCCCACCTGGTCAGGGGCACCTTACCATGCCCGACTTGAGCCCCATGTTCCGGGTGTGGAGGCACGGTGTACAATTCTAGTCTCCGTGTTTCAGCGTCACTGGCTGGTGCGCCTTTTTGAAACTTTAGATTTGCATCCACTGACATCTCCGTCGTCTTCTGGTGATTCTTGTCTCGTAACTTTCTCTTTCTCTCAGCCGATCTCATCTTTTTCTGAACGATGTCTCCTTTCTTACGTACAAATTTTGATGTGGCCCCTGTTTTACCTTCCATCTTTTCTAACCTGTCGTTAGCATGCTTCTGCGTCGTCTCTGCCTCATCTATTCCATACGCTAATCTATCCCTAGATATAGACAAATATTTTGGTTTGCCCCATTGACTGGAATTATGCTGGACAGGTATTCCATGCCATTCCTCTGTATTTTCATTCTTCTTCTCTGATATAACTTGGGTTGGTCTCGGGAGATACTGAGAGGGAATATAATAGTCCTTCGGGTCACTGGGGTCTTGTGGCGACGAGTACTGACCTTGGACTGCATCACCGAGGTCTTGGTGGGGATCTGGTGGCACTCCCAAGTTGCGTGTGGTGAGAGCGTGGGCCTGTGGTGGCACTCCCAAGTTGCGTGTGGTGAGAGCGTGGGCCTGTGGTGGCACTCCCAGGTTGCGTGTGGTGAGAGCGTGGGCCTGTGGTGGCACTCCCAAGTTGCGTGTGGTGAGAGCGTGGGCCTGTGGTGGCACTCCCAAGTTGCGTGTGGTGAGAGCGTGGGCCTGTGGTGGCACTTGGGGTTGGTGGGAGTGGAGGTGTTGAGGGTGTGAGAGCGTGGGGGGGCGCCTGGAGGCCCGGGAGGCAGCGGCCAGCGAGGGCGACACCCGCTGTCCGTCCCGCACCTGTACCTTCACCTGCCACCTCTCTCTCCCCAGCGGCGGGTCCCGGTCCAGCGCCTGCAACCATACAACACCACATTGTACTCTCACGTGTACTACATCACACTATAGCAACCTGTGTACTACATCACACTATAGCCGCCTACTGTGTACTCTCTCTCCCCAGCGGCGGGTCCCGGTCCAGCGCCTGCAACCATACAACACCACATTGTACTCTCACGTGTACTACATCACACTATAGCAACCTGTGTATTACATCACACTATAGCCGCCTACTGTGTACTACACACACTATAGCAGCCTATGTACTACATGCACTATAGCAGCCTACTGTGTACTACACACACTATAGCAGCCTACTGTGTACTACACACACTATAGCAGCCTATGTACTACATGCACTATAGCAGCCTACTGTGTACTACACACACTATAGCAGCCTACTGTGTACTACACACACTATAGCAGCCTATGTACTACATGCACTATAGCAGCCTACTGTGTACTACACACACTATAGCAGCCTATGTACTACATGCACTATAGCAGCCTACTGTGTACTACACACACTATAGCAGCCTACTGTGTACTACACACACTATAGCAGCCTATGTACTACATGCACTATAGCAGCCTACTGTGTACTACACACACTATAGCAGCCTATGTACTACACACACTATAGCAGCCTACTGTGTACTACACACACTATAGCAGCCTATGTACTACATGCACTATAGCAGCCTACTGTGTACTACACACACTATAGCAGCCTATGTACTACACACACTATAGCAGCCTACTGTGTACTACACACACTATAGCAGCCTATGTACTACATGCACTATAGCAGCCTACTGTGTACTACATGCACTATAGCAGCCTACTGTGTACTACACACACTATAGCAACCTGTGTACTACACACACCCATCACCTGTATAATAATCAACACAAGTGTCTTCACATGTACAGCAGGATCGGTGCTGTACAAACCCCTACCGTACAGCATGCCCCTTCCCCCTCCACCTCCCAGAGAACAGTCCCCCGCCCCTCAGGAGCCACCGAGACCGGTGACACTGAACAAAGATCCACAATACCTGGAACACAATTGAAGATGGAGTGACGCCCAAAGTAAAGGAACAGTGAAAACATGAAATGAGCTTCCATGGAACCCACCAATAGTTCCATGAGGGAGATATGCCTGGAATGCCAAGGAAGAGGGGCCGGGAAAGGATAAATAGAATTATAGAACACAATATAAATAAAGATTAGTATCGAATATGAAGCCTATGGTGGCTACAATCTCAGTTAATTATAATGATGAATTTGCAATTAACTCATTTAAACGCATATAAAATGCCTAATTTTTTTAGGGGGGGGGGGGATAGCTCTCGAGAACTGATTAGTCGTGATCACCACAGTAATATGAAAGCTGATATATCCAAACCACTTGTGACGTATTTTCTCCGAGTCCCCTGTAACGATGAAAATGAGAGGTTGTGAAAATCCTGGATGTCTTCAAAACCTTCCTTCAACACACACACACACACACACACAGACACAGACACACACACAGACACAGACACAGACACAGACACACGCACACACACAGACACACACACACACACACACACACACACACACACACACACACACACACACACACACACACACACACACACACACACACACACACACACACACACAGACACAGACACAGACACACACACACAGACACAGACACAGACACAGACACACACACAGACACACACACACACACACACACACACACACACACACACACACACACAGACACAGACACACATACACAGACACAGACACACACACACACACACACACACACACACACACACACACACACACACACACACACACACACACACACAGGGGATCGTGCACCACCACCTCAACACACACACAGGGGGGGGGGGAGGTCGTGGTGATGGAGCTAGTGGTCTGGGAAGCTGGAGGTAGTGGTATTATGCCGAGGGTAAGACATCAAGTAGTGGTGGTGGTGGTGGTGGTGGTGGTGGAGGTGGTGGTGGTGGTGGAGGCATTAGCGGCTCAAAACATTCATCATGATGCCAGGAAACCAAACATCACCTCGACCTCTTGGTCTCGTCCAATTTCGCTGGTGGAAGAGGAAATAGTGTACTGAAGCCTTGCTTGCCTCAGCCCTCCTAGGAGGAAAGGTTCTCTTTGCATCTCTCCTAAATCATCCCGGATAACACTGAGTAACTCGTACAAGCTCCAAAAAATCTTTACACATATGCAGACTACCGGTCGTTCAATATACATACACCACCGCAAGGTCGTTACCAGCATAATAAATGAGAGTTTAGGAAGCCGAATGCGTCGGACGTTCACGATAGACATTACAGGAGTCTGTAGGTAGTTTGTTCAAGCCAGAGCGAGGAGCTCTTCAGACCCCTCCGTTAGTGGCTGGCTTACCCACGGCTCCTTCTAAGGGAGGGAGAGACCCCCTGGTGCATGACCTGAGGGAGAGAATTATCAGGAGAAAGCGCCAAGCCATTACGACTATATAGCACTGTGAAGAGGGTCAGGAAAAGGATTTGGGATGGGACGGGGAGAAAGGAATGGTACCCAACCACTTGTGGACGGTCGGGGATTGAACGCCGACCTGCATGAAGCAAGACCGTCGCTCTACCGTCCAGCCCAAATGGTTGGACTTGAACTAAAATAAAACCCTCAAAAATGCAAGAGAACCCGAGCAAAATACCCCGCCTATTACCCGACCTAAAGTGGAACCTCGAGACATTATTTCCGTTTATCGTCATTTCTTTTTGCTAATATTTTCTCCTCGTGGCTTTTTGGGATGAGGACATAACTGGGTTCCTGCCGTTTAGCTTGTTGAGTGGATGAGTGCAAGTGCTTCTCATACCACCTAACGCCAAACAAAGTAATCATTTCTACATCCGAAGGTAATCTGTAGAAATGTTAAAATATTTAGTATTTGCAATCAGAATTAACATCTGTTTATTACAAAAATTCTAAATTATCTACCACCCTATCCTCCTATGATGATAGTACTTACAGTAACTATTTGTTCGAATGTACAAATATATTCTGTTGAACCCCAAAAAGTTCATATTTTCAATTATGTATTTTAAAGTCCGAAAAAAAGCAGTCGAAAAAAAAACTCAAGAAATTCCTAATTTCCTAGGCCTAGTTTAGGACATATATATATAAATACTACTGGGCCTAAGACAGCATGAATTAGGCCTAACATTACTGGGACAGATTACGTTCAGTCTCTTAGTTAATTTCCGAATTAATAGAATGCCATTTACGTTAATTCAGCAGCACAAAACGTGAAGTTTTCTAGAGTCCACCAGTACATAGTGGTGCGTTTGACGAAATAGTTGCTCTATGTACACGTATTTTAGGAGGACTGGTTGTGACTGGGATTCGAAGGCGCGTCATTAAACTCTACGAACCGTGTTTGTAGACTATGCTGCCATAAGCCTGCCACCAATCATCTAGTTCTACATTGCAGCCGGGTGGTGGAAGCTGAGATTGCACTGGCCGCCTGCCTTCTGGATTACCACATTGAGGCTCTGGGAAAGGAAGCTGACTGTCCTTGGATCTCTTATTACATCAACTAGATTAGAACCCCCCAGATCCCTGAGAAAGCTCAAAAAAAAAATTCCCGCCGAGATCAAGTTTCCTTGATCAAGTGTCAGTGTAAGGCAAAGATATCCGCTTGACCACTGCTAAACTCACGTAGATATCAGCCAGGGTGAATACGAACAGGCAGTACGTATCCACCCTGGTATCAGGCACTGGTGGCACGGGAGCGCCTGACCAGCAGGATCGGCAGGATTATGGAACATTATGAATTGGGGTTCTCTCTTTTGATAGGCACTGTAGAGGTCCCTGCTGTTGACGTCGTTGTGTCCTGTGTGCCCTTTCACCGAGCGCCTGGAAATTTGACCAAGCAAATGTGTCAAATTTGGCCGTGATGGTGAGGAGGGGGTAGGGGAGGGGGGTGGGGCCAGGCGCCATAAAGGTGACCATAATGATGATACACGCGGGCAACCTACACTCCGCCACCAGCGCACTAGAGTGATATACTAGTGCACATTATACCTCTATCACCACAAAATGAGTTCCTTCACTTGCTCCCGGCAAAAGTTTCCTGCCTAAATATACCACGGCACGCGCCAGCTCTTTATCCTGCCCATTAAATCAATTAAACTAACTTGTGACAGGAACAGCATGAAGAATGTTGTTTCAGAGCACGACGTCTCTCCCTCGTCGAAACTTTTGGCCTTAAATTATTACCAACGTTTACTCAAGATTAATAATCAGTCTCCCGTGCCAGGTGAGTGCGACGGGTTCACCATAGCCCGTGCTACTGGCAACCTTTTCTTCAGAGTAGCTGAATCTAAAACAACAACAACAAATCAATTAATATCCTCCGCTACCTACAAGCCTTAGAGTCTCTAATTTCACCGACGAGATGAGAACCCAAATCCATGAGAAAGCTCCAGGTGTTTTCTTCCCCAAAACTTGTGTATTCGATCAAGTACCAATACGTCCGACAGACCACTGGAGCATTATCTAACACAGTGCACAGTTACAAACCCATTAAGATTTCAACTTAGATTCAACAGAGCAGAAGAAGTTGTTAAACACATATGGCACAATCTTACCGAAGCGACCATACGAGTCATAAATACTCACACCCCGCCCAAGTAAAACAGAAACAAGCAACACTTAGTGGGCCAGCCAGAGGCTTAGGACCCGCACAGGAATATCCCTGCAAAACAAAAAAAAGTACCAATACATCAATACAAATCATAGAATCTAAGACGAATGCAATCAACAAAGTGTAAGTACAGCCAATCTTCACCATAATATAAACATTGACTTGGCAACACTGCTGGCTAAATTTAGCAATTAATTTCCGGCCCTACACCAAGATATTTATATTTTCTCCTCAGAGAAGCAGACAGACAGTGGCCTAAGTAACCGGTAAGCCGCGCGACGTGTGTTAGAGAAAGTGGCCGT